ACCATACATAATAGCATCATAGCACCATACACCTTCTACCATTGCATCATATGCCATACACCATTACACCATATACGTTTTTTGTGAAGTTTACACCATCCAAGGGCTGTACCGTGTTTTGAAAACATATACTTTCATTTATGGAATCAACCATTTACCAATTTCAAAGACCCCCTTTCTCTCACACAATCGAAAAGTTGGACTTAAATACATTTACAATACTTTTGAATTGCTTTTCTTACAAGTTTTAAGTGAAATCCACTAAATATTCATTCATAATATCTTAATATTTTGATACGACTCCTTTATTTATTTAGTTACCGTAGGGTGTGGGTGTCGGTATAATTGTAAGTGTCTGTAAAGACGACTTTTCGAAAATATCTAATGCATTCATGCCGATTGACCTATTATAATGTGTTGGATCAGGTTATTCAGGAATATATTTAAACAAAAACAAACAAAAAAACAGATATGTTTTCGGTTCATTATTTTGTACATAAATTAGGCCTTTAGTTTTCTCGTTTGAATTATTTAACATTTGTCATTTCGGGGCCTTTTATAGCTGACTATGCGGTATGGGTTTTGCTCATTGTTGAAGGCCGTAGGGTGATCTATAGTTGTTAATTTCTGTGTCATTTGGTCTATTGATGAGAGTTGTCTCATTGGCAATCATACCACATATTCTTATTTTTATAGTTTTTGAATATACTATGTGTGGGCGAAAACATGTCTTACAAGTTGATTTAAAAAGACTACTACAAGGACATGAAGGACACCTCTACGATCTATTTGTTGTAAGAATGTGAATCGTTGACATGAAGCATCGAACCCTTGTATAAATTCTTAATTTTGAAAATGTAAGGTTCCAATTTTAAGGGTGTTTACTTGGTGAAAGGGAGCAGATGTCTAACCTAATTTTTCACGGTCGTTTTGAAGTGAGTTAACAAGAAATTATGAAGAAAATGGGATGTGTCTTTCATTTTGGAGACAAGACGAAATGCTTAAATAATAACATAATTTAGATAAAAATCAAATGTTAACAAGTACTATCTTTTAAGGGGCATTAACTGTCGAATTCATGTTCACCGACTCGATTCAAAATGTTAAAAAGATGTAAAACGTATATAAAAATTACAAAAAAGTCATAAAGCAACAATTTATAATGCATTGACTCGTTACAATGTATCAACATTGCGTGTGTATCTTAGAATAGACGCCATCTGATTAACATTCAAGATTATCTCCGAAGTATTCCGTCGGTCATATGACCTGACGTAAACATAGATATGAATATAAATACACAGACAATTACGTGCAATCGTTTTATGACGAACCTTCTCATCGTTGGTCATTTTAACAAATATGATCAAGGTTTTGTAACTGATGATCAAACAATTGCTCACGCCTATAAAAAATCGATACTAAATGTTTGAAGATATGGCAAGTTCCATGAATTGTTTTGTAAAATTCGACAAAATTATTTGAATCAACATAGATTAAGAAATGAACAATGACATTCGGGTATTTAAGATCCTCTTAAGTTTCATTGAAAATCTTACAGATTGAAGTCGAATTTTTATGCTGCTATTTTACAAGATAATAGTTCACAAACAGACATGTCACCCTACCAAGATGCATTAACATGACTGCGAGCCAAACAGGATTTGCGTTTACTCTTAATGCACATACTTATCAGTGAAGCAGCAATTTCCAGTTGTGTTGTCTTTGTTTAACCAGGGTGGAAACTGAACCCTTGACCTACTGCACTCGAAAAAATCACGATACTACGAGACCATCGAGGCAGAATTTTCCTTTTGGAAACCGTATCAAAAATGGTGAGCTTGAAATTTTCTTATCAGTAGCTGATAATAGAAAAACTCATTCAAACTAACTGTTGGAACTGTTACAGTTGGTGAAAAAAACACTGTAGACATAACTGACGCCTGATTGTAAGGACGAGAAAAAAACACAATCATAATTATTCGAAATAGTTAAACTTGTTATCATTGTTAACAGTAAAAAATTTATTTGCATGTTTCAAATATACAAATATCACGATTTTTACCATGTAACATACAAAACCAAAAGAAGAAGTCGCATATGATTCATACATGTATGTATTTAAATCTCATGTTTGTTCTAATCATTTCATAAAATTAAACACAACAATAGTGTAGTTGTTGAATATCGATATCAAATTCAAATTCAAATTTTTTTATTAGCATAATACTACAACTTAAGTATGGGACAAAATGAAAACAACAAAGTATGCCCTGTCCTAAGTTATATTGTCTGCTTTAGGTAAAAACCTCTATAATCTCAAGTAGGCCATTTGAGCACGTCATAATAGGTCCGGGTACACAGTTATCGTCCTTTGATTTTCGTTGTCCACGAATATAGTCCCTAGTGTGGACAGTGTGTTACTTGTCGATTTTTTTTTATACCCCTTCCAAATTTATTTCTCCATGTTTTATGACTCAAATAGTAAGTAGGGGAGTGAAATAACACTGTAAAAAAAAATTGGGTCATGAATTTTAAAGTAAAGTAGTGATTTGGTCCAGCTGAAAAATGTTAAAAATTAGCACTTCTGAAGCTGTCAAAAGATTTGAAGACCCCCTTAACATGAAATTGTCCATATTTTGCACAGCACAGGACATCACAAACAGTGACGTATTTTTGTAACGAATATATAATCTTGAAATTCATACAAGTATTTTCACAATACTTGTCCAATCAATTATCATGATAATGACGGTATTGAAAGGCAATTTTATTTTGACTACAAACGATAAGACATAACACATTATCTAACGGAAACCACAACAAAAACATCATAAATAAATACAGGAATATTGGATGTATAAAATACCGAGACGCATATGGAAGACGCAATATAGGTACTGCACATTTTGTATATGAATAATTTTAGAGTGAGCATTATCAACTGTTTCCATTATTTACAGTAATGGATTTATTCAACTTTAAATATCGAAACCTTTATTTCAGTGCTGTAGATGTGCACTATCTTCTTTTTAGTAATCTCGTTATATATGGCAATCTTAATTTATGCGAGCATTGATAAATTGCAGTATTATGGAATGAAAATAGATCTTATTATGACTAAATGTGAATATCGAAAACGAAAAAGCAATAAGTTCATTTCAGGGCACGGATAAGAAAGCTCGTGACTGACGGAACAACACAGACATTGAAAAGTAAAATATCATATCAGAAAACTCATAAAACAAAGCAAAAACAGATGATACCTCAAAAGGTGTTCTCTGGAATACTAAGACAGTGCCTGATTTATTAGTGGATCCGTTGTGGTGGTCATACGGGTAAAAATAGGATGAATAGTCGTATTTATGTAAATACCAGGACCGGAGTGGGGTTATCGCCAGTGCAAATGGAACATATCTGTTATCTACAAAGAAGGCAGAATACACCAAGGGGGCATTCACAACTCAGTAGACGAAATACACTGACCATGCCATGCCAAAAAAAATAGAAAATATAAACAAAAAAGTTCACAAAACACAACATTAAACCTAGGATTGAGTGACAGGAACCCCACAAAATCTAAAAAAAAAACTCAGGTGTTCCGAAATGTTCAGCAGATCCTGCTTCACTTATGGCACCAACCGTGTTGCACATAATAAGTATACATTCGAATATGTTAAAAACGAGGAAAAAAGGACGATATTGTGAATAGACCATTGGATCAATCTGTTGTCATCTGTTTTCATAACTGTCAACCAACTCGTGATGGCGCCCGTAAAACATTCTAAGGGATGGCATCAACTCTACCACTTGGAGCGCTTGATTGAATACATTTGAATTAATCCACTAAATTGGCATTTTTACGATAATCTGTACAAGAAATAGTTTTTTTTTCTTTTCTTTGTTTCAAGTTATTAATTGCAAATTAAATATAAAACGTGATAATGTGGACGAACGACGATACATTAGTAAAATAAGACGTGACATATGGAGTAAACACAGAATAGAAAGCGATTAGTAAACCAGAATAAACATGAATGATTTTTTATTATCAATTGTTTGGGTTTTTAGCTAGCTGTCAGTAACTGCGAGTACTCTCAAATCGTACTTTCTTTTTAATTTGACCTGTTGATACTATTTGTAATGCTTTTTTGTTATTTAATGTTAACATGGATCTTGTCTATATACCAGCTTTGATTATTTGGTATTTAATTTACTACAAATTTTCACTTCTTCGTACTATGAACATCAAAATTATTTCATTTTTCCTTAGATGCTGTTCTTGGACCTGTACAGGAAGTTTTATCTAGCACTAATTGTATATTTTTATTGTTGATATTCACCCCATATGTACCAAGTGTTAGATTAGTTTTATTGATATTAAAGAAATTTCTTGGTATTCCTAAACGGAAGATTTTATACACACAGGAGAAGAAGTATACTTAACTACAAAATTATTTTCATTTACCTGTGTATAATATGACGCAGGTTTCTTCAAAAGTGATGATTTTCTAAAAATTGTTTGAAGTTTCACAGTGATATCATACTTTAACTTTGTTTAAACCTGTTAATTTACTTTTGACCCTAATTATTTATCCCTTGTAATTTTTTATTAACTGTGTATTTGCATTCAGGTGTCACAGGTCAAATTTATTCGTTCATTGTGTGTTAATTAACGTTTTTTATTTGAGTTTAGCCTTCCAATTGATATTTTATAGTGTGTTTTTCTATGTTGTGATGTTATACTATTGTTTCAGAAAAGGAAGAAGGTTTGGTACCATTAAAACGTTTAATCCCGCTGCAAATGTTTGCACCTGTCCTAAGTCAGGAATCTGATTACAGTAGTTGTCGTCTGTTTATGTAGTTCATACGTGTTTCTCGTTTCTCGTTTTTATATAGATTAGACCGTTGGTTTTTCCGTTTGAATGGGTTTACACTAGTAATTTTTTGGGGCCCTTTATAGCTTGCTGTTCGGTGTGAGCCAGTGCTCCGTTTTGAAGGCCGTACCTTGACCTATAATGGTTTACTTTTATAATTGTAACTTGGATGGAGAGTTGTCTCATTGGCACTCATACCACATCTTCCTATATCTATGAAATATGGATCCGGAGTAATCATGGACAAGACAGCGATTAGTCAATAAAACTCAACATGAAATAAGGTGTAAACGTAGATATGACAGCGATTTTTTAACTTTAATAAATATGAGATATTATGTACATGTAGATGAGGCAGCAATTAGTTTAACTAAATAAACGTTGATGAGACAGTGATTGGTTATCCAAAATATTTTAGAATGAGACAGTGATTAATTAACCAAAAAAAAAAAAAAACCAAACAAACGTAGATGTGACATCGATAAGTCAAATAAATAAACGTATATAAGATAGCGATAAGACTACCAAAAACAGTGCTAATAAGACAACAATAAAAGAGATAATGTGGAAGAACGATGATAAAATAGTAAAATAAGACATGAGATATAGCGTTAACGCAGACAAGAAAGCGACAAGCTAAACATGAAATATGGAGTAAAATGGGGAGACAGCTATTATCGATAAAAATTAACACGAAATTAGGTGTAAACGTAGATATGACAGATTTGTTAACTTAACTAAACATCATATATATATATAGGGCATGTAGATGTGACAGCGGTTAGTTTAACTAAATAAACGTGCATATGACAGCGAATAGTTCAACTGAATAAACGTGGATGAGACAGTGTTTGGTTAACTAAAATATTCGTGAATGAGACAGTGATCCATTAGCCAAAAGTAAACGTTAATGTGACAACGATAAGTCTAATAAATAAACGTAGATGAGAGATCGATAAGTTTACTAACTTCTGGATAATTTCAAATCTCGATCTTTCTCCGAAATTAACTTTATCAAAACTTTTGATTTTTCAACTCTGTATACCACAATTCCCTATGTGAAATTGAAAAATCGCCTTAAAGAAAAATCCACAATGCTTTTCAATATGAAAATGGAAGCATACTCTTTAAATTTTATACTTTGGGATACCATACGACATATTTTGTTATTGGTTAACAAAAAGGTAAAATATGCTACACAGAGGAATAAGTGATCAGTATGCTGGAGTTTTTTATTGACAACATATTTGTTGAATTTGGAGGTAGACTTTTTCAACAAATTGTCGGCATTCCTATGGGAACGAACTTTGCGCCTCTCCTTGCCGACCTCTTTTTATTTTCATATGAGTCGGAGTTCCTTCAGACACTTGTCAAAACAAGAAGATCAAAGAAGCCAGATCAATTTATTTTACATTCAGATATATTGATGATGTTCTTTCCATTGACAATCCAAACTTTTCTGAATGGGTTCCATTAATATATCCTCAAGAACTAGAAATTAAAGAAACAAGAGACACGGCTTCCTCCGCTTCATTTTTAGACTTATACCTCGAATTTGACAATAGCGGTCATCTAAGTACCAGAATCTATAACAAACGAGACGATTTTAATTTTGAAATTATAAATTTCCCCCACCTTAGAAGCAATTTCCAACTTCACCTGCATCAGGGATATACATTTTCTAACTCATTCGGTATTCAGGAGTTTGCAACTGCTACTCAGGCCTAATAAAATGTCACCAGTTTCTGAGTAGAAAGTTGATAAGCCAAGGTTATGTCAAAGAACGTCTCGTCCTTTTTCTTAAAAAAAATCATTGGAAGATACCAAGACCTCCTTGATAAATATTCCGTATCAACTTCACAAATAATACATGATGGTCTTGAAGTATAGATTCTAGGTACTGACGTTGTTTATCATCTTAACTACGTGTTATAGTGTTCTGGTATTTGTATTTGTAAATTATTAACCTTAACTGTTTATTCCTTTTTTAGGTACTATCCTTTTGGCGTGGCTCGGTTCTTTTGCATCCCGCCAATGTGTTGTTGTGCAGTGGTCATTTTTTGTATTCTTGTTTTTCATTTTTGCTTATGTGCTTTGCCTATATGCCATTTTGTTTTTTTCGTTGATGACAGATTTGTTTGTTTTTATAGTGATTAAACTTTTAACACAATGTTGATTGCTACATCTCTATTGTTGCCATTTTTACCTATTATATCTGTTTGTTTTGTTCACACATTGTTGTCAATATAATTGAATTTTATGCGACTGTCATACAAGTGAGAGGTATAGCTAACTATAAAACCAGGTTTAATCCACCATTTACTACAAAGTCAGGAATATGACAGTTGTTTTCCATTCGTTTGATGTGTTTGAGCTTTTGATTTTGCCATTTGATAAGGGACTTTCCGATTTGAATTTTCCTTGGAGTTCGGTATTTTTGTTATTATACCTTTTACCAAAACAGTGACAATGAGACAACAACAAAAGTGAGGCAAAACACACCAAAGAGACATTCAAACTCGGAAGTAGAAAATATACTGACAACACCATTGCAAAAAAAAAAAGAAACAGACCACAAGACCAACAACATAACACAAAATACAACATAGAAAACTAAAGACCGAGCAGCACGAACCCCACCAAAAAATGGGAGTGATCTCATGTGCTTCAATAAGCTGATTTAAACATAAGATATGGTGTGAAAGTGGATCTGGCAGCAATTGGTGAATCAAAATAAAAGTGGACGTGACAGTGATTAGTTGACCAAAACAAATTTGCACATGACGATAAGGTAACCAAAATGAACATGATATATGGCATAAAGGAGAGGCGAAAGATAACAAAAGAATTCAAACCCATAAGTCGAAAGCTCATAAATCGAAAAGTGTAAATGTGGATGTGCCAGCGTTTAGTTAAATAAAATATTTTTTTTTAGAATACTTTACACTCTCCACAGATGGAATGTCTTTAGGTTTTCAGTAGACAGGCACAAGGGAGAGAGGTGGTGGTATGTGCGTCTTTAAAACTGATTTACGCTCATCACATTATGTGCCTGTATCAAGTTTGGCTATCTACATTGGTATGTATTTCATATGATGACATTGATATCATAAATTCAAGATATGCTTAAGGCACAATAACAAAAATTAAATGCAATCTTATTTCATCCCAACAATAATATAAACATAAGCTGCAGATAATAATATAAACTGAAAATAATAATAATAATAATAATAAAAGAAATTGTATGATAAGAACCTTACTTTTCCTTGTATAAAAATGCCATTGCATTTGAACTATTGCATATTAAAAGATTGTCTGAATCAAAATATAGACTTGTTGGAGTAATTATCCCGTCGTCTGTGTCACAAATAACGCTGGCAAAACTTCCATTCAAATAAAGTGACACAACATTATTTGTCTTGTATCCTGCTATCAAAATAAACTTATCGTCTGATGAAATTGACCTTGGTGATCCTAAATTTGAATCTTTAAATGTCCAAATAGAACACCCTTGCATATCATAACACTGTACTGTGTCATTGCATTCGTCAGAACAGTAAAGTCTGTCATTTTTAACATGGACATAAAATATTCCCATACCTTCAATCGGTAAACATGCGTTTAACTTTCCACTTAAGTCCATTATCAAAATTCCTTCAGTCTTGACGACGACAAACAGTCTACCTTTATCGTATGAAATACCGTAACATTTGTTTTTGAAAAAGATGTCGGGCTCCGATTTGTTATTTGTCATATTGATTATTCCGATTCTCTTATGAGTACTCCATGGGAAACTCAGGGCAATTTTGTTATTGTCAATCACGGCGATATCAAATGGCTTACTAGTCAAATTGATATTGCGATCAAGTGTACCGTCCTCATTAAGGACTATTAATCGTTTATTACGAGCATGTGAGTCTACAAAAATCATCTGTTTGTTCGGAAGTATGATGCAACTTAGTATGGTACTTCTAAAAAAAGATTCCTGTGGTATCTTGATTTCTAACTCTTTGGATAATTTTAATCGATGGTCAACGGGATATTGTCCTCTATTTTTCTGTAAATGACAATAACCGGTATCTAATTTATTTACTCGAATATCTCCGAATGACTTTATATCCGCGCACGTAACGAATATACCTTGATTCACCTCAATATCAATGGTGATGTTTTGGATCAACTCTAAAAACGATGTAAGCATAGACTCATTGTAATGCAATGTTTTTTCGAGAGCTCTTGTCCCAATAAAAGTTTGCGTATCTGACGCATATTCCTTTAAAATATCCATCTTTTTTCGTATTACATCAAACTTATTCAGGTGATCGTTAAGGAATTTAACATTGTTGTCGATTTCCAGGTTAGAACTTTCGCATTTTTCATTTAAATCTTCAGTAATTATATTTTCTAACTGGTCTAGCTTATCGTTAATACATTTTCTATAATTTTTAACTGCATCTAAAATTACAGTTTTTTGTTTTTCAATTTCTACCTTATTGCTTTCTCTATCTCTTATATTGTCTCTCAATTTATCCATGACGTCAGCTATATTCGATTCTAACATTGAGACGAATGTTGATGTTTTAGCGCTCTTACTGACATCACTCAAACGGACAGCTGGCACACATTTTCCATGAGTAGTCTGCGTACATATCAGACATATAATCTCGCTATGTGAGGAACAATACAAGTCCTTTTCCTGATCGTGAACTTCACAGTATTCATTAAGAGGTATCTCTAGTGATTCTAACATTTGGTTACCTTCTACTGATATCACATGATGGTTCCTTGAATATCTGTGTGCATTGTGGTTCCCATAGCAGCTAACACAAAGAGGCTCTTTACAGTCAATGCACCATTTTGTAGCTATTTCTGTCTTGCTTTTGAATTCACATGGACTGCAAAGATGTTTTTTGTCATTAACATCCATATTTTAACTCTATGATAAAAAAGCAAAAAAAAGGGAATTAGATTTACTGTCATTATTGGATCTGCCGTAACTTAGTGTTTGTGCATTTTTGGCAGATATAGAAATAAACACTGCAAAACTAGATAAGTTATCTTACCCTAAGTCTAGCTACAGACGAGTAAACAAAAACATTAGAACCCCCAAAACTCAAAAATCAAGTTTAAGTTATAGTCAGGTTACCATTCAAATTTGAGTTTAATAGTAAAAGAATAAACGTTGAATTGGAGAGGCAGTTTGAGATTAAACTTTGAGAAATAGTTAGAACCGCGTCGAAGCAAAGTTTTCCAAGTACATATTTTCATTTAAGGGGTTCGAACAATAACACTACAAATAATGCCCAAGTTTCTTAAACGGCGAAATCAAATCATGCTTCTTGCTATTTTTGGCTTTATTTGTTTTGGCTGCGTAGAGGCAGGGCACACATAAGCTAGCCTTTTCACAGTGTTATTTACACCAGAGCCATAGGCAATAGACAAAGTTATCCGTATAAGAGCCTTTCAATTCAAGAATGATTAAGAATTTGGTTTTAATACACATAGTAGGAATGCTTGCAGCTGCTATCCGTACTTTATGAAACGTCATCAGTGTCTGAGTAGAAAGTTGACGAACTAGGGTTATGTCAAAGAACGTCTCGTCATTTTCCTGAAAAAGTTCATCACAAAATACCAAGAACTGGTTGATAAATATTCCGTATCAACTTCACAAATAATACATGATGGTCTTGAAGTATAGATTCTAGGTACTGACGTTGTTTATCATATTAATAACGTGTTGTAGTGTTCTTTAATTTGTATTTGTAAATAATTAACCTTTACTGTTTAGTCCATGTTTGGTACTATCCTTTTGGCGTGGCTCGGTACTTATACATCCCGCCAATGTGTTGTTGTGCTGTTGTCATTTGTTGCATTCTTGTCTTTCATTTTTGATTATGTGCTTTGTCTATATGCCATTTTGTTTTTCTTTGTTGTTAAACCTGTTTGTTTTTATAGTGGTTAAGATTATAACACAATGTTGACTGCTGTATCCCTATTTTTGACATTTTTAACTATTATGTCTGTTTGTTTTGTTCACAAATTGTTGTCAATATAATGAAATTTTATGCGACTGTCATACAAGTGAGAGGTTTAGCTAGCTATAAAACCAGATTTAATCCACCATTTTCTACATAAGGAAATGCATGTAACAAGTCAGGAGTATGAAAGTTTTTTACCATTCGTTTGATGTGTTTGAGCTTTTAATCTTACCATTTGATAAGGGACTTTCTGATTCGAGTTTTCCTTGGAGTTCGGTATTTTTGTTATTTTACTTTTTTTTTCACAGCAACTGATAAGAGTAAAATGTTTTGGTCATTATTCAAATAAACTCAGTAAACAATGTTACACACTTTAATGCTGTATTATTTTCATCTTTGCTTTTTGTGTGGGTTGGTATGACATTTTGGCACAGTTAAAAGTGTCTTAAATTCGAAAAAGTGCAAGATATGTTAAGTTTATCAGTTCATTCGATGGATGATCTATTGGATATGAATATGGGCAAGTGTCGAATTTGGAGATAAAAAAGAAATAACAACACATAAGGTTATGAATGAAATAGCTCCTGTTTTTGTTTACGTGATATAGTACATATTAAGAAATTAAAATTTTTTTTAAGGTTTTCAAACAAACTGAATTGGATTTTGTTCAAGTTAAGTTAAGATTAAGTTTTTTAAACATTAGTTGCAGCTGCGTCCAGTTTTGATACACACGGCTAGGAAAACAGTAAAAATTTGAAATATAGAATCAATATGCATCTGAAAAAACAAGGTTTTTTATGAATACCCAGGTAGAACGATGACGTAAACAGAGATGCCTTCTTGCGGCCCATCCCCTCAGAACAAAAATCTATTTATTGCACCCTTAAGATTTCTTAAAACGCATGTTCTCAGTTTTAATGCCTTTAGAAATATAACTTCATAATAACAATGTAAACTTAAAGAATTTATTACATATGCACTGGGCAATTTTTTCAAATTTTGTCGACACGTTTAGCGTTATGGCTGTCAATAAAAAAACAAAGATGAAACCGGATATAATAATATTTCTGTGCACATTGTTATTCAACAATAACAACAATTGACTGGTTTATAGAATACTATTGCTACAATGCATATGCAAACAAATAATTCTTTATATATCTGCTTATATATACCTTTATATAAAATACTTGCAATTTGCTATAAGAGACATACACATTTTCCTTTATGATATCATAAATCCATGCCGGTCGACCGATATCAGTTGTTTGCTCAGGTATTTTTGAAATGCAAAACTTAAATATGTGATGCGTAAATATTGTATTGCGTGTCCTTGATCTTTGTGTGTTAAGTTTAAAAGTATTTCATTCAAAATAAATTTAATGGGATTAGACAACAGGTCAAACCTAGTACGGAAGCCCTTGGAAAACAAATTAAAAGATATAGGATATTTTTATAAAAAAATAAGATTAAATACAATAAGATTGTTACTAAATACACATTTAACATAAATAGACAATAGAAATACATATATGTAATATTAAAAAAAATGTAAGTTTGTTTGTTTGTTTTTTCTTCTTCTAAGTACTACATGTAGACAAAATACCTCTCCTAAAATGAGCAAAACTTTTTGTATATATGACAGGAATAAACAAATTAGTAATGCTTCATACAAGATTTGAGCACTACTGAAATAGTACAAAATCGTTAAGGGTCGGTTGAAAATATAGTAAACTTGTATTACTCTGAGCTTAGTGCAATCATATAAATTGAAGAACATAATATTGCATCAGAGCACTGAGTGGTAAACAGATAAACTCCGCTTAGCTAAAAGAGACCATCGGAAGCTGAATGACGTTTCTGGAAATCGAATTTGACAGTTCAACGTCAAATCTTTCAAGATACTTGTTTGAAGGCAAGCAACCTTCTCCTTAAATTCAAGAAGGACTAGTTTTAAACCCAAATATCCGAAACAGAACATGATCAGAAGCAATTGCGTCGTTTGACAAACGATTTAAAGGGCAATAGGCGAAAAGTCATACTTCTTTTACACCATGATGAAAAAGTTCTGGCATGTTTTTTGAGATTTCTGTTGGAAAAATAAGTGCCATCCGTGACGATCTAACGGCTTAGTAAATTCATCCAAGTATAACAGTGATGCAATGAGAGCTGATATTGATTCCAGAGGTGAAATACTAAGTTGTTATCATCAGTTTCAATAGACGAAACTCGTAAAATTATCTTGGCGGCTTCAACTTGATCCGTTACCAACAAAACTTCTTGAGCCTTCTTTAAATCATTTGTTGCCATCAATTACAGTTATAGCCAACACATCGCTATCGAATCAATATGTGCCACTCTTGTTGAAACAGGATGTTTTTAGACCATTACTTAAGAAACAAAGTCTAGATAAGGAGGTGCTCAAAAACTACCGACAAGTTTTCCATTTACCTTTCATTTCAAAGACACTGGAAAAGGTTGTCAACAATTGACTGGAAAATCACACCAATTCACATTCCCTCCATGATAGTGTTCAGTAAGTCAATCTCGCATATCATTCCACGGAAACTGCTCTCTTAGGTGTTCATCAGGACATTGCCCATGCACTAGGTAATAGCTGTTGTGCTCTTGATCGATTTATCGGCAGCTTTGAATACCATTGACCATCAGATTGCTCTGCTATGGTTACAATCGTATTTCATAGACAGGACTCGACGTGTTGCTGTAGGACCACTACAATCTGGCGATATCAAACTCGGCTGTGGTGTTACGCAGGACTTGGTTTTAGGCCCAAAAATGTATTGTATTGTATTTTCGCAAAACCAGTAGGTGAAATTTGCAGGCGCCATGTAATGTCATACCATTCGTATGCAGATGATACTCATGTTAATCAAATAATAAGACTGCAAGGAGACTGATCCGATCTGTCCAAACGTCTAGAAAATGTTTGTCTGATATCGATGATTGGATGAGTGCCAATATGCTTATATGTAATGAGGATAAAACAGAATTGATTATCTTTGCATCTAAACATCAAGTGAACCATCTATCCGATTTCCTTTTGACATTTGATGGAACTGTGTTTAGCGACATTACCTGTGTGAAACATTTGGGAATCTACTTCGATAAAACTATCAGTATGGAACATGAAGCTAGTGCGATCGCTCATACTTATTTTTGTCAGATTCGGAATATTGGTCGAATTTTATCTCTAATTTCGATTGAAGACTGCAGAACACTAGCGTTCTGCCTAGTCACATCAAGGCTAGACTATGGCAAAGCATTGCTGTGTGGTATTAACATCAACAGTATTCATAACCTACAGCGTGTCCAAAACACAACAGCACGTTTGATTACCCGAAAAAGGATTTGACTCAATCACGCCAGTTTTTATCACGTTATATTGGCTACCCATTCATTATCATTGCCAATATAAACTTCTTTTACATGTGTATAACGCACAATTTAGCGAGGCTTCTAGCTACCCTCAAGAACTCATTACGGCATACAAACCCAACAGATCCCTCATATCGGAAAACAGTATGCTTTTACATCCTCCAAATAACGTCCGAACGAAAATCTACGGTGTTAGGGCTTTCTACTAGGCAGGGCCTACACTCTGGAACAGTTTACCATCGTCCTTGTGGAATGTGTATTCTTTAGACGTTTTTTTTAAAGCAACTCAAGACTCACTTCTTTCGAACTACATTTAAGGTTTCCTTGTAGATTTTATTTTATCTTTTTTTTGCAATATTTCCTAAATTCATGTTAGACTTTTTTGTATATTTTAGGGTACATGTATTCCTTTTATCTGTCTGTTTGATTCGTATTAGTTGGTGCTTTTCATTTTATGTTTTATGGTGTTTTTTTTTGTATTAATGTGTATTTTTTCATGTCATTATCATATTTTTATTATATCATTCGCTCTATAAATATAGTATTCATATAAAGATCAACCACCTACATATTTACAGCGTACACATGTATTATTATTTTTATATAGGATGTGTGATCCCTAGTTTGTCCCTAAATGATTATCTCCCTATTTATCTTTTCAATATTGACATGAAACATCATGCATACAGCAGCTAGACTGCAAAAAGATCCAAACGAAGATTAAAAAGACTAGATTTATTGTTTTTTATTTTTCATCTTAGACTGATACAAGATATTATTGACTATACTGATTTATACAAAATTGAAGGGGCAGTGGTCGTTGTTGATTTTTCTAAAGCGTTTGACTCTTTAGAGTGGAATTTTATGTTTCAGTTTTAAAACATTTTGGCTTCATTGATTCTTTTATAAGATGGGTAAAACCTTTGTATGGCGAAATTCAAACATGTGGCATGAACAATGGTTGGATATCTGATGTCTTTAAAAATACCAGATGGAAAGATGCCGTAAATAGAGGTACCCACTTGCGCCCACTTAGAATAAAGTTAAATAGTTGCACCTTAAAGATTATTTTCTGAATTTAAATCTTTACTTAAAGATTCAATTGTCACAAGCACTAGCTCTACGTTATATAAGTTTGTCGAAACGTTATACATTATGCCCATCTTTGAAATAACTCAAGGTGAAACCGGATTGCATAATCTTTCAATGGGTCGTTCAGCAAAATCATTAATTGTTTTTGTTATTTAAAATTTCTTGTCAAACTATTATCAATAGTTCGATCAGGTAATTAAGGAATTAATTTAAATTGAAACTAAATATACTATGACTTATAAGTTTTTGAATGTGTTGATTTAAACATATTACCGCAAGGCCAAACATTATACCTCTTTGATCTATTTTGTTGTAAATGTAGGCTTTGTGGAGATAAGGTATCAAACCTTTGTATAAATTATATAGGTTGCACTTTGTAAATACAGCTATTTCACAAACTAACACCCCTTTTGGTGAGATATATAATAGTCATAGAAATTTTGTTTTGTTTACGTACTGGCTCCAAGATATGATCTCTATGTTTCATCTCATGAAGATAAAACTTGGGAATGTTACCAGTATAAATAAACATATATAGCGGCCAGATTGAATTCTGAGGAGGACCCAAAGTGAAGGTTGGGGTAGTACGGAATTTTAGTATAATTTTAAAATCTAAGAAGTTTTGGGCATACGAATGTTGAAAATATGCCGCACAGCCCTATATTTTGACCTTTAAAAAATAGTGCATATGAACTTTGCATTCTATGATATAATTTTTTACAAAACTTCATATTAAGAGTGTCACAGTTGTAGCCGTAAAAGGAGTTCCTATGGGAAATTGCATTGTCTATATTCACCAAAGTGCAATCTATATTGGGTGAATAAAGAGAACATGTAGAATTTCAACAAATGTTTTTTTAATTTTCACAGACCTTAATGAAATTAACTCAAATATAAAGTTTTATAAATATTTCATGAAGATTTAAAAAATCCTAGGCCTTAACTATGATGACTCAGCATAAGTTCTCAGTTTACAGTACACATAGTTTACCTAAAGACCGGTATGCAAAGTAAATTCGTAATATATGTATATTTGTTATTCAAATTGTTTTAAAGAAGTGCTTACATTTACTCTCCGCAGTCATTGAAACTCATGGATCCTTGATGAATACTGTTGTTTGGGTGTTTTTGTCCTGTCAAAAACCCACAAGTTATCCGTACCACCTAATGTGCTTTCTTGTGACAACAGCATACACATAAATACATGCTACAGAAACAAAAATACCTCAATAAAACTATCAATAGTGTGTTATATCCTACAAATTTACTAATTATTCCATATTCACTGAAACAGCAGAATTATTTGACAAATTTGAGGCCCCAGTGGCAAAAAAAACAGAGTAAAATCCCTAAACCTGGGTCACAACGCAGATAATTTAACCTGTAAAGGCTATGATTTTTTATTATCAAGGTATTTTGTACAGAAAACAATAACTGTGCTTTGTAGTTATTCAACAGATTTTAGCAGTCAGTTCTGTAAAACTTTTAGTGTATTCATATATCAGACTGCTAACCACATTCTTGCAACTTTTGCAAATATGGCTTTATTTAAACACTTCTAGTTCATATATTAGCCAAATTGTGTTGGATATATGGTTAAAGATGATATTATTGTGACAAGATTTCTAAACTGACCATTTGAGGCAGAAGTTGTGAACTTTTATAGATAAATAGGCATACAATAAGATGTGGACTGGAGAGAGAGGCAGGATTTGATACTTTATATAATCTTGCATTTTGGAATGATTAACTACTAAACATTACATTTATAGTATTCTGAAATGCTTTCA